CAAAGTTGAGTAAGTGTGGGTTCTGGCTTTAGCAGATTACTTTCCTAGGGCACATCATATCAAGGGATGGAGTGTTAATGAACTCTGAAAAAGTTAAAGCAGTGCTCGGCTGGAAAAAATTGACCTCGGTAAGGAGATTCGTAGCTTTCTAGGGATGATAGGTTATTACTGTAAGTTTGTGAAAGGGTTTTCTAGCCTAGTTGCTCCTCTAACTCGGCTCACAAAGAAGAACGTCAAGTTTGAGTGGAACGAGGACTGTGAAAGAAGTTTTTTAGAACTAAAGAAACAATTAACTACCACACCTATGTTAGCCTTGTCGAGTGGATCGGGTGGATATACAGTTTATAGTAATGCCTCCTACCTATGATTGGGTTATGTTTTGATGCAGTATGGGAAAGTCATAACCTATGGGTCTAGGCAGTTGAAGAGTTATGAGAAAAACTACCTCATCCATGACTTAGAACTTGCCACAATTATCTATGCTTTGAAGACTTGGCATCATTACTTGTATGGGGAGACCTTTCAGATCTATACCAATCATAAGAGCTTGAAACACATATTCACTCCAAAGGATCTCAACATACGTCAAAGAATGTATATAGAACTCCTAAAGGACTATGATTTCAACATTTTATATCACTCGGATAAGGGCAATATAGTAGTCGACGCACTCAACAGGAAAAGTGCAGGTATATTAGCTCACTTGCTGGTTTCAGAATGCACAGTAATAGCGGGCGCATAACAGGTACGACTTCAGGACCTAAAAAGAGTCACATGTTTGTTCCACTTAATTGTTCAAGCTGAGTTGATCCAAAGAATAAAAGAAGCTCAGTTCACCAATTCCACTTTAGCAGCCCTCAAGAAAGATACAGAACAGGGAGTTAATTCAGACTTTCGAGTCTCTACCGATGGGTTGCTTAGATTTCATAACATGGTGTGTGTTACAGGTAACACTGAGTTGAAAAGGAACATCATGACAGAGGCCCATAACTCAAAGTTTGCAATGCATCCCGGAAGTACCAAGATGTATCAAAATATGCGACCCTGATTTTAATTGAACGGGATGACAAAAGATGTGGTTAACTTTGTTTCTAAGTGTTTGGTATGTCAACAGATCAAGGCAGAGCATCAACACGCAGGTGGGCTACTCCAGCCATTACTAATTCCAAAGTGGAAGTGAGAACATATCACCATGGATTTCGTGACATGATTACCTAGGACACGCTCAAGATATTATGCCATCTAGGTAATTGTTGACCGACTTACCAAGTTTTCCCACTTCTTGGCCATCAGGATGACCTACCCCTTGGACAAGTTAGTAAGAATGTATATCCGAAAGATAATCAGATTACAAGGAGTGCCAATGACAATAGTGTCCGACAGGGACCCCAGGTTCACTTATCAGTTCTGGTCTAGTTTTTAGCAAGCCATGGGAACGAAACTGTTCTTTATTACTGCATTCTACCCTCAGACCGATGGACAGTCAAAAAAGACGATCCGCATACTCGAGGATATGCTTCGAGCTTGTGTTCTTGACTTCGGGGGCCATTGGGATGACCATCTACCCTTGATAGAGTTCGTTTACAACAACAATTACCAAGTAAATATTAGCATGGTTTAGTACAAGGCATTGTATGGCTGCCCATGCAGATCACTGATATGTTGGGAAGAACTTGGTAATAAAAAATTGTTCGGTCCAGATCTCGTAGAGGAGACTACAACCAAAATAGTTAAGATCAGGAAGAATATTCAGACGTTTCAGAGCAGTCAGAAGAGTTATGCAGACAACCGAATGAGAGATTTGAAATTTGAGAAAGGTGATCCGGTGTTCCTTAAGGTCACTCCTTTTAAGGGAATCTGTAGGTTTAGCAATAGGGAAAAGCTAAATCCCTAGTTTATTGGGTCATTTAAAATCTTAAATAGAACTAGCACCGCTGCCTATAGACTGGCACTGCCTCCAGAACTTTTCAAGATCCATAATGTATTTCATGTGTCCATGCCACGCAAGTACAATTCAGACCTCTCTCACGTCTTGGCCCACGAGCCTCTTCTCCTCCAGGAGGATCTGTCCTACGAGGAAGTATCGATCGCATCGTGGACCGAAAGAGCAGAGTACTCTGCAACTAAAAAATTTCTTTTGTTAAGATCTTATGGTAAAATTACACACCGAGCGAGGCCACATGGGAGTTAGAATCGGACTTCAGAGCCCAATATCTCCAACTATTTGATTGAGTGAGAGAGAGACAAATTTGAGAAATCAAATTTCTTTTAAGGGTGAAGAATTGTAATACCCAGATTAATTTTAATGTAATTTAAAATTTATTTATAAATATAATTTTTTTAATTTTTTAATTTTAATTTAATATAAAAATAAAGAAAAATAGGTGAATGATGAAATTAAAAATAATTTTGGGAAAAATTGGTGAAAATTTGTGTTCTGAGAGTATTTTTGAAAGAAAAATAGAAAACTAGGGTCAAAACACAATTTTAAAAAATTATGTCATGTAGAATACCCAGTCAGCAGCCCCGACGAACCAGAACGTGCAACGTGGCAAGGGATGCTGACTGATGCCACGCAGGAGGTCACGCGAGGGATTCGCGTGCCTGCGATTGGACGGCTCAGATCCACTCTTGCGCGCACGGACGGTCCAAATACGTTCCTTCTCCAGACACGATTAGACGGTCAGATTTAAACGCGATCAACAGTCTAGTTCCACTTTCTATTTAATCGCGATCCGACGGTCCAGATCAAACGTGATGGACGACCCAT